CCCCACAGCTGCCATCTCCTTGCCACTGACCCCCCCACCCACTGCTCCCCTCCCTCAGACACTGACCCCACCACCCTCCGCCAGACACTACCCCCCCTGCTCACTATTGACAGCGTTTCATCACACATTGGGTGCCACGTTAGGAGAGTGATAAACATGCGTAATCACCATTAAGCCAGCTGGACTCGAATCGTTGCTTAAGAGCGGAAAGTTCCACTTCCCCTTACTTCCTCTTCATGGTCTGTTGGTTTGGCAGGAGGCTGGCAAAGCTTTCAAACAACCAAGACAATCAAACCCAAGTTATTTTTATTGTTTCTCTGGCAGAAGAAAAAAAAATAACATTCAACTTTGTATATCAAATCTGAGGCGTCCAGTATTCCAGTGACCACAGTTTGTCTTCTGGAGGAGATTTAGACCCGCTACTGTTTGCTTTCTTTCTCTCCATAGTACAGTAGGGGCTTCGGCGCGTCACAGAAACATTCCCTCTCTTTTTAACGGAGCTCTGTTCTCTTCACCTTTCTCTCCACGGAGTTCTGACCGTCTTCCTGCTCGGAACAACTGACGGCATGTAACCAAAAGGCCAGAAGGCAACATTTGGTGAGAAAGGTGCGTCTGCTCCTTTCCGAGTAAGGGTGGCAAGCATATTTGCTCATTCAGCGCTTGGTGATTTGGGGTGAGTGGACTTGTTCCCTTCAGGTGGTACTTGAGGCTGGCACTGAGGACACCACCAGCTAAGCCTCTGAAACCCATCAGGGGGTCCAAAGGTTCCTTTCATCACCTCATGCCCAAGGGGACATTTTTCTTTCAGGTAGATCTGATAGTGTAACCCTTTTCCAGCCAGCTTCTTATGCAGCCAGTCTGTACTGAACTGAACGGCATGGTCCAACAAGGATTCAAGATCTGAGACAGCCAAAAGTGAGCCTTGGGACAGCGGATGGATCCTTGCCAAATACAAGATCTCGTTCTTAATGATGTTCCCTGGAACATGGGGTCAGAAGAGACATTCTTAAACATAGATGCAATAACAAGACAGTGAGAACCAATAACATAAATCAGGGGTGGGGAATCTAACGCCCGGGAGCCGGATGCAGCCCGACTTGCTTGGATCCGGCCTCCTTGGCTCAGGATTCTCTCCCCACAGCACTGGAGAGCCCCCACTGACACTCCACCCCCTTGCGGGGCTGGAGCACACACAATCTACTAGCCTGAGACCCCCTAGGCTCTGGTGTGCAAGGGGAATGTGGGGAGAGTCTTTCTCCTTCTCAGTCAGGGGGCACATTAGTGAGGGTTTTTTCTTTGCTTCTCACATGTGTGCAGCTCCCAACTGATTTTTTTGTGGGTCAGTGGCCCCCGGACCAAAAAAGGTCTAATGGCCTGACTGCTTGTCCAAGAGAAAGGAGCTATTGATGTCTCTTTGTGCCTATGATCCCAACTCCCTCTGTGGCCTTGAGTAAGCCAGGTCAACTCACTGTGCCACAGGGGATTATGAAATTTAAGAGCTTGATTCCCAGAGGTGCTGAGCAATCACAGCTCCCACAAAAATTGGCACCCAAGAAAATTAAGTCCTAGCAAGTTTGTTTTCATAAAGAGCTACCAGCGAAGAGCCAGAATAAGAAGTTACTAATACATCTGAGAACCATCTCTCTCTGGGCCAAAATATCACTTATTCCTGGAGGCCATTGCCTTCTCTGATGGGACATACCCAGACCGGAGAAATATCTCTGGTCCAGAAGGGTGCAGCAGATGGGCGTCGGCTGGCGAAGGGCTGCCAAGGCCTGCCCACGATGGAATTCGGGAGACAGGATGTCAGCAGCAGGCTCCACAGCGGGAGAGGTGCACCAGCGTATCTGGCAGTTGTAAAAGACGAGGAAGCCCGTGGTGTCGAAGTGCAGAACCAACCTACAATGAGGAGTATGGAAATTAGGTGAGCATGGGTGGAGGTGGGGGGAAGGGTGGATTGGGAAAAGCAGCCTTGTTTTTCCTCATTTGCAGTTGTGGATCTAGTTAACTTGCCCTGGGTTAGCTCTTCCAAAGTTGTTTACCCCCGGGAGTTTACATCCCTATTTCCATTTGAGCATAACTTGACTTATTTCTTCTCAGCTTGA